TGTCTTCTTAAATTTGACTGTGTGAACAAATGGATTAGATTTCTAAAAGATTTTTATTGTTGTTAACCTGCTTGGGAAAGTTGTAGAATTTATTTGAATTTAGTTTGTCAGATAGAAGTCTGAAGCCAAAACCCAGACATGTTAGTCACCCTGAACTCAAGGCTGTGGGTGCAGGCAGTGGTTCACCCCTGAAGAGCTGTAGGGGTGGCAAACGGCAGCCCAGACAACCAGCTGTTAAATGTAACTGGATGAGGCTGTTACAGAACCCAAGTTCAGCTGCTTGCCGCTCAGAAGGCCAGTACTCCAGGGACAAGTGTTGGTAGAAAAGGAAAGTTGCTTTATTCAGGAGCCCAGCAGCCTGGGAAGATGGTAGGCTAGTGTCCTAAGACCGTCTCCAAGAGGCTGGTTGGGAGGCAGAGGTTTTACCGGCAGCGTGAGGAAGGGGGAGATGGGGAGTGTGATCAGCTCAAGCACAATCCTCAGATTGGTCGGCATCAGCGTGACGTTTTGAGCATCACCAGTCTTCTGGTTTCAGCCGGTTTGGGGCCCCCGTGCTTGTGGTCAGCAGTGTTCACCTAGTGGGGGTCTGCTTCCTGCAAAAACAACTTAAGAGTGTGTGTCAGACTTTTTTCTGTATCTTTCAGGGAACTGAGATTTCAGTGATTCTGCTGGTTTATAGTCTGAATTGTTACTAGTTTCCTGGCCCAACAGTTATTCTTTGTTTCTGCATGTTCACATTTCCTAATCATTTACCTTGAGCCAGTCTTTTGTGACTCAGGAGAGGCCTGGGAGACTAAAACTTTTCTATAAACAAGAGACAGGCAGAGGACATGGGCGGGGGTGTCTGTCCTGGGAAGGTCCCACAGGGTCCTGCTTGGTTACAATCCCCCTTTTTCTTTGATACTCCTCAGTCCTGAGGAGGGACAGCTGTGGAGCAAGGAAGTGAACAGAGTTTTGGATAGAGAGGTTAGTCATAAACTCAGCAGAGAAACTCACTTTTAGGGGACTTGGTTTCGTAAAGGGGCCTGTCTCTATCCTGGTGGATCCCCGTCCCCACTAGAGAGAATTCATCATCTTGGAGATCGACACCCGTGGAAAGGATAGGGTGTTGCCTCTTCATGACTTATGATGTGCTTCCTCCTGAGTTTTCCTACTCCAGCTTCTCAGTTCTCTTAGGTCCCAGAGATGGGGCAGTAGCTGTTGTCACCAGACCTGGCCATCAAGACACGCTAATTTTCAACACCAAAGCTAAAGGCCTGGGGTCTAGCCTGGGCCAGCCTCTTGCCAGCTGCATGATTGGCCAAGTAACGTAACTTCTCAGAGGCTTGGCTTTTCCTCTGTAAACTAAAGATAATACCATCCCATGAGACTTTGATTGAATGAGACAATGGGTGGGAGGAAACCCACACTATAGTGCTTGGCAGTAAGTAGTATGGACTTAACAAATGATTATTCTTTTAATTATGCTCATAGATGATTTGGCAATTTCTGCTTTCCCCCGTAGGTTTTGTCATACCATATCACAGGTTTTTTTAGATGTCTCCAAAAACGTTTGGTAGAACAAAACTTGCTACTCCTATCCCCACAAACAAACAAAAAACCCGAAAGGGATTGTTTTTTAATTGTAGTAAAATACACGTAACATAAAATTCACTTTTTAACCATCTTCCAGTATACAGCTCAGTGACATTTGGTACATTCACAGTGTTCTGCAGCTATCACCATTCTTTAGTCCCGGAACGTTTTAATCACCATTAAAGGAAGCCCCATAGCTACACTGCATTCCCCAATCCTGTAGTCCTTGGCAACCACTAATGGGCCTTCTGTCTCTACGGACTTGCCCACTTGGGATACTGCATATATGTAGAAACCTATAATATGTGGTCTTTTGTGTCTGGCTTCTTCCATTTAGCACGATGTTTTCAAGGTTCGTTTATGTTACATTATGTGTCCGTATTTCATTCCTTTTAATTCCTGAGTAGTGGTCCATTGTATGGATATGCTGTTTTAGTCTGTTTGGGCTGCTGGAACAATCTACCACAGACTGGGTAGCTTATAAGCAACAGAAATTTATTTCTCACAGTGCTGGAGGCTGAAAGTCCAAGATCTGGATGCCGGCATGATCGGAGGGCCCTCCTCTGGTGGGGAGGCTTGTCACTGTGTCCTCACATGGCAGAAGGGCCTGGGAGCTCTGGGGTCTCGTTCGTAAAGGCACTAATTCCATTCATGAGGGCTCTGCCCCCAGGACCTAACAACTCCCAAAGGCCCCACCTCCGAAGACCATCACAAATTGGGCATTGGAATTTCAAAATATGAATTTGGGAAGTGGGGCACTTAGGCCCAGACCATAGCATATGCCATATGCAGTATACCCATTCGTCAGTTGATGGGCATTGGGTGGTTTCTACATTTGGCTATCGTGAATAAAATGCATTGCTGTGAATACGCTTGTGCAAGTTTTTGTTAGAATACCTGTTTTCAATTCCTTTGGGTATATAGCTAGGAGTGGAGTTGCTGAATCATATGATAATTCTATGTTTAACTTTTCAGAAACTACCAAACTATTTTCAACCGTGGCTGGACCATTTTAGATTCCTAGCAGCAATGCCTGAGGGTTCCAGTTTCTTCCAACGCTTGTTATTTCCCAGTTTTTTTTTTATTGTATCTATCATGATGGGTATGTAGTGGTATCTCATTGTGATTTGGGATAATTTTTATAGGACAGGTTTTGTATGTGTCTGGACTGAAATTTTCTTACTAGTGTTCTTAAGCCTGTCATGTGGCAAAGCTACGAGAAAAACCACCTGAATGCAATTTCCAGTAGGAGACGGGCGTAAGCGGCTTTTCCTGCACGGCCCCCAATGTGGCTAGTCACCGTGGCTCTGTGATCTGTCGTGTAGATAAACCATCTGCAGACGATCAGTGGCTAATTGCAGGTGATGCCTGGTGCCTTGAACCTTCTCGCTAATTCTTTTCTTTTGGTTTTAGGGCTTTCCTCTGAGTCATCCAAAATGCTTTTAAAACGGATTGAATAAAAGCTGAGTCACCTGCCTGTGTGAGACTTCCATCGTCTCTGCTCTGCTCTCTTCTGATGGCATTTTGACTACATCGAGGCCCAGGGACCCACAGCTCATGATGAGTGACGAGAAGAGCCTTGGGGTGTCCCAAAAATTGGTCTCACCTTCAAGGAGCACGAGTAGCGGCTCTTCCAAGCAGGGAAGCCGACAGGTAAAGGTTAACTAATGCACGTTGTAAAATGCAAACTTTAATCAAGACATTTACCGATTAAATTGTGTACGTCTACTTGGGAACGCCTGCTTCTCAGTTTCAGAGCATTTCCTTATAGTCATATCTTCATTGTTTGAGAAGAGTAAATTTTAGATAATTTTCGTAATGCAGCCTATAAGAGTCTAGCGGATGGGAAGAGTTATATTTGGCTCTTTGCACTATTTTAAAATGATTTTCTTCAATCCTTACAACTGTCCTGCAACATAGATATTAATATCTCTGTTTTCTCCACGAGGAAGCTGAGTCAGACCAACTGAGCTATTTGCCCAGGGACACGCAGCTAGTCAGTGGCACCACAAGAAATCAAAGCTCAGTCTGTTTGACTCCAGAGCCCATACTTTCCTTTACACCCTACTCACCAAAACAAAAAAGCGAACAACCACTTCTCCAGTGGTTTTAATATCCTCCCGCCCTCCCCTTCCTTCCCTTTACCAAACCTTTTATGGCAGCTCCCAACCACCGCTTGTCCCGTGATAATTTTGAGTCTCACCCGCTTTACTTCTCACGGGGAAGCAAGTGAACAGAGAAGTGGTCAAAAGGAGTTAAGTAGGAAGAAGAAAGAAGTGAAACAAAGGACTGAATAATAAACTCCTGAATGTATGTTGTTCCTTGGTTTCTTTTCTAAAAAATCTCCGGTGGCAGACTTTGCCAGGTTTAGGTCCATGGCAGGAAATGCACATTAATCATTATAATTCTTCCACCTTCAGTTAAGGAGAGAGGGAGTGGACTGTCAAAAGCCGTGGGTTTACAACCAACTGAAGTGGTCTCTGAGCCTTTTCAGTGTCCGCCGGCTGTGTTGGCGTTGCCTTTCCTGCATGGGACGTGCTGGCCTAAATTGGCCCCAAGTCCTTGGCTCCAGATTTGGCAGCAACAACCAAGCAACCTCCCACCTCAGGCTCGTCCACACATTTATGACACATGTCATGGGTCTGTCCGTTTCCACATTGCCTGGGACAGGGAGCCTGCCACTGCACAATGCTGCTTCATGGCATTAGTCTAATTCGAGATACATTAGGTTTTGGTGTAGGAATGTTTGGGGAGCCCTCCAAGATGTCCCCGGAGGGGCTGGGAAGAATAGTTTTCTCATCATTGTCATCACTTCCTTCTGGGATTAAAAAAATGACCAGTGATGACACTGTGTTTCCAGTCACTTCACTGGAAAGTACTAGTTCAACATTGAAAACTTCAAGTTTTATATAATAAGAGATTTAATTTGAGGGATATTGAAATATAACTGATGAAGGTGATCTGTGCAACAACCTACTTGTTTTTAAAGCTCCAGCTTAAAGTCATTTTTAGGTGGCTGTGTTCATTCCGTCTGGAGGAGAGGAGTCTGGTGTTAACTTTATTGGCCATCTTCCTTAATGCTAGTTTTCTCACAGGCTTTGGAATTATTGTTTAGGACATCGTGAGTTTACTTCAGTCTGTCTTTTCTCTGCACTCACCTCTCACCCTATCTAGGCATTTGCTGTTATCTCCTTTCTGCCTCTGATGACTGCAGTCTAGAGCCAAGTCTTATATTACGTCCACCATGAGTATCTAAGATCCACCACCAGGCCAGCACACAGCATGGCTCAGGTCCTAGTTTTGAAGCCGTGTCTGCCTCCTGCCAACTCCCTGGATAAGCAGGTTTTTAAAGCCCCCTCTCACTGTGGCGTGGGGCTTCCCCTTATAGTCCTCTGATTGCCATCTGTGAGCCTAGCTCTGGTCCCATCCTCTCCCTGGGGACATTTTCAGCTTCATTAGCCCACAAGGACTCTTGAACGCCTCTGTCTGCAGTGTCTTTTGCATTTCTAATTTGTGTCTGATCTATGAGATATTTAGTCTTTTTTTTCTTCAGTCCCACAGATATACCAAAAAAAAAAAAACCCTACATGTTTATATCTTTGTATATTTTTGCTCTTTGGAGCTGGTGTGATGATAGGAAAGGGGCACTAAATGCACAAACTTACACAATACAGACCTTGGCTGAAAGAGTTGGTCTTCTTGAGTCGTTTTCATTTAAATTCTTGTCCACCATTGCCAGGTGACATTGAGAGTCTCTGTCTTCCAGCCACACTGGCTTTCTTTCAGTTCCTTGCACTGAATTTGTCCTTGTCCTTGTTTCTTGAATTGAATTTGAACTTGTCCTTCCTGTCCCAGAGCCTACTGATACAAAATCTCAGACAGCTATTCATGTATGTGCTGGTGCCCCCCTTTCAGTATACCTATACTAGAAGAGCTTGCTTACTGGAAGGACAAAATGATTGAGACCTGCATGTTATTATTTTTTTAATATTATATTTATTTGTTTGTTGGGGTTTGTGTGTTTCTTTTTTGCCCTTTTTTTTGGAGGGGGAGGCAATTAGGTTTATTTATTTAGTTATTTTAATGGAACTACTGAGGACTGAACCCAGGACCTTGTGCATGCTAAGCATGTACTCTAACCACTGAGCTATACCCTCCCCGCAACTGTGTGTTATTGTGATCTGTGTTTTCACTTTTACAAACTTGGACCTAAGACAGAGTTTATAATTTATGGCTTGGAAAACCCATTCTCATGGTTCTGCCATCTTTTAACTTAAATACTAGGGCTTTTAAAATTCTAAATATAGTATCCCTCATTTTGTAGTGTGGAACAGCCTGTAAATATAATTTTATCAAGATAATTTGGGGAGGAAGGTATGCCTAATGATTAGAACCTGAACTCTCGAGCTATGGTTCTACTCAAATAATTGGTTCTCTGACCTTAAACTCCCTAAGCCTCAGTTTTCTCATCAGTAACATCAAAATAATAATAGTTCTTTTCTCATAGGATTGTTGTGAGGATTAAAACTAAAGCATTAAATCAGTGCTGTATAGTAGGTGCTGAGTTAGTATTAACATTCATTTTTATTATTTTAGTTAACATTAATTTGAACTTCATTCTTATTTGTGGAAAATCTAATTTTTCATAATGAATAGTTGTACTTTTTGCCCCCAGAAACTTTTACAGGCATCATATGTGTACCTCCCCATACCTTTTTAGTGTTGTACAAAAGTATACAATGTCTGCATGACTGTATACTTTTAAAATAAAAAGTACCTTACTTTATACACAGTAACAAAGTACTTTTAGGGAAGAATAATAGAATGTTAGATATTTGGGCTACATTTGATATCTTCAACAAATGGCCTAACCTGTATCTAAAACAAGTGGAAAAAAATCAGTGAGTTCTTACCCTATTCTGTTCTGCTGGGCCTTGTCCCTGCATGGGTGTAAATGTTTTTCGCCTTTCCCAGTGCCAGCACCTGTTTATTGGTAGAAGCTGTTTAAAGCATGGTATTGAGAAGGATTCTGCAGTTGACTCTGGGTTCAGTGGGAAAGAGGGCCATGTTTTCAGCTATGGCTCGTGGGCACAGGCGGGGTGAGTGGCACATTTGTCACCCCTTAGTAATATTAGATGGTTGAAATCAGGAGATACTTGCTATGGTCTTTAGATTTGGCCACTGAGGGGACTTCAGGCAAGTGAAGTTCACCTCAGTTTTCCATCCATAAGATGGAGACAGAACTCACCTCCTGCTTCCTCTGCAGGGATGTTATGAGAAAATGCAGTATTTTTACTGGCTAACAGCCATTGAAACTCTTTGGAGAAAGGTCCTCTGTAAATTTAAGAAACAGTTACAGATGAGCCCCCTTTACTCTGTTCAGTTCCGGAGCCAGAATGGAGATGGCCTTGTTTCATGAGCCCTGACACTTTGCAGAGACCGCTCTGAAGTAGACCATCCTTCAGATACAGTGCCTTTGCTGGATAGGAATGGGTTCTCCTTGAAGGAAATCTCAGCTGAAGGAACCCAGCTTATACAGAGAATAGGTTGTCGGGCCCCTCTGCCTGTCCTGCTCACACTCGTCTGTGTGGTGGTCTAGGTCGGTCTCTGCGTCACTGTTCCTCCCCAGCCCGTGTGTCGGCCCAGCTACCGCCTTTCACTGGACTGAGCGTATGAAACTGTTCCGCCCTTTTGAATTTTTTTGGAAAGGATCTTCATTTATTGCTTTAGCACTTTAACAATAACTTTTATAAAAATAATATATGCCTCCTGTAAATCATTTCGAACACACATGCAATCTGTGGGAACTGCAGTACTCAATTAAGTTACTTTTAAGTGGCTACTTGATAGGTCAAATAAAACGAAGGCTGAGAATGACCGTTGGTTGTAGAGGTCATGGGTGACAGTGCCTGCTGAGTGGTTTCCCTCAAGGGCGGGCCTGAAAGGCTGTTTTGAGTCTTTTCATAAGAGGATGGGGACAGAGGAGGGTATCCCAGTTCTACTGGGCCCCCAGACAGGAGCTAACAGAGGTCCTCACAAACGTTCTGTTTGGGAACCGTGAGTTGGCTAATGCCATGCTTAACACAGCTCTGTTCTCTCCCCCGTGGATAATTCTCTTTTGATTAATTCTTTGGCTGAAAGAGTGTGGGTTTTTTGAGTCCTGGGTCCTATTTACACATCTTTTGAGCTCTCACTGCTCTGGCACAGGGCTTTGCACATGGCACCTGCAAATTATTGGACTGGGTTAACTGAACACGAGCAGCAGATATCCCTCTTTCAAAGATAGGTTGGAATGTATGGCCAGGTACACAAGGGGAGGGGAGCAAGAAGTCACAAATTCCTCGGCTCCCTCACTCCACTGGCAAGCATATTATGAGGATCTCAAAAATGAACAAAGACCTGTCCGACAAGCTTTTTTTGGCAAATAATGAAATCTCTAAATGCTTTCTATATACATGGAGTCTCTGAACAAACCACTCTGTTGGAAAGTATGGAACAGAAGTAAAGACTGCCTTTGTTGAAACAGACCTGTGTTCACACTGGCTCTGCTTCTTGCTGGCTGGATGACATTGCCATGTTAGGGAAGACCTCTGAGTCTCAGTTTTTCAGCCGTGAAATGTAGCTAATTTTGCTTCCTTTTGAGAACTAAGTGA